AATAATAACAATAACAATTAATAGTTAAACATTACATTAAAATCTAATTTCTTGCCATAGTTTTTCACTTCCAGTTCAAATTTTGGGCATTTGGTGCACATTAGATGATGATGTAGCTTCATTTTATTTTATTTTTATTTATATTTTAAATTTACGGTTAATCGAAACCGCACCGAACCAAACTGAAAATTTCAGTGCGATTTTGTTTCAGCTTTTCTTCTAAGTTTGGTGCCATTTGGTTTGGATAAATGAAAATTTTCGGCCACACCGAACCGTCCCATGCTCACCCCTAATTATCACCCACTCAATACTTCTTTTACTAATTATGAATAATTACATATCAATATTTTATTATTTCTATATAAATCAATTTAATAACAATACGAGAGAGATGAGACGAAGTTTGTAGTGGAAATCATCTCAATCAGATGATAGAGCTCTCTATTAACAAAGGATATATACAAAACATTGGGGCTATAGTTACCTAATGATAATATTGGGCTAATTCAGTAAATACACAAATATACACAATAATACTCCCCCTTAAAGTTGAAGCATGCGGATTTTGAATGCCCAACTTGCCAAGAAAGAAATCTATTCACGCTTCTCAAGTGTCTTGGTGAAGATGTCAGCGAGTTGTTCCATAGAAGTAACATGAGTAGTAAAAATGAGTCCCTGATGAACAACGTCATGAACAAAGTGGCAATTCACCTCAACTTGCTTAGTGCACTCGTGAAAAACTGTATTCGTCGCAATTTTCAGCGTAGACTGATTGTCACAGTGTAACCACATAGGTTGAGAGTGAGTGAAACCAGAGTAGATAACAATCCTTGTAACCACTTCAACTCCCACAATGTAGTATTCATTGTCTAATATTCTGCCTCAATAGAAGAGCGAGCAACAATAGGTTGTTTTTTAGTTCGCCAAGAAACAGAAACTGCCCTAGCTGAACAAACCAACCATAAAGAAAGCAACGAATGAGAAGGCAAAACGCCCAATCTGAATCATACCATGCATTGAGTTGAAGATTTCAGTTAGTACAAAGATGGATTCCTTGACCGTGAGAGCCTTTTAAATATTGTTCGCCTATATTTTTAAAGCTCGACCGCAAGTGTACGGCTTCGCTCGTATTATGTGGCAAGCAAGGTCGTATCCCAAGAGACCAAATCATTAATATATCAAGTACAAGATTATGATAGTGTCAACTTTATTTAGACGACCGAATATGAGATTGATTAACTAAACTAAGAAAATAAATGAAAGAAAATAAAGCAAAAATAAATAACTAGCTAGATCAACACGTGAGAAAATATATGAGAACGATAGATTCTAAGACGTTGGGTTCAATTAATAGTTAGGATTCCTTCAAAGATACCACAATTAAATATTTTCTTTATCTACCCTATAAGACGATCACACATTTAGCTTATCGTCCCTCTCGAGATCGAAAAAACCGTAGATTAAATCACATATATTAGCGTCTCCACTCAACACATGCAATTCAACTCCAAAAAGATTAAAAGACCCAAAATCCTCACAACTATCTACTAATCTCTCGATTCAAGCAAATAAATTGTGTCAAATATTAAGAGCATGTTTGTTTATAGAAATTTTTAAAAAATTTCTCAAATTTTAACTCAACCACTTTTTTTAACTCAACTTTAACTCAACCCCACTATCATCAATATTATCAATATAATTAAATAATATCAATCAATCATTCATACAGACCACATCAACCTTAATTCACTATTCATCCACTCACATTATTTTAACTAATCATCACATCAAACTATTTCTCTCCTACTTTTATTTTTTTTTTCGGAACGATAAAAATGATATATAAAAGGCACAAAAGTGCAAGAGTACAACCACCAGCTGAATACACACCCAGCCACCAGCTGAATAAAAATGGAAGGACAAGTCATAAGACCTGCCTAGAACCGACCCTACCAGGGTAATACCCTAACAACCAAAAAACACAACCACTAAAAAAGACCCCAACAGGGTAAAAGACACGACACTAACACGGACCCAACAGGGTAATGCTCGAGTGTGGGATCCCAACAGGATAATAAGGTCACACTCGAGCGAACCGGGGCCAACGGCCCAAACCTAAAAGACATCATCAACAACAACACACAACTAGCACAAAAACACAACAACGACAACACACCTACAAGAAACAAAATAAACAGAAATTAAACAAATGGAGCCCTTCCTCGACGCACGACCTAGCCCAACCAGCAGTGAAGCGATCGACACAAGATGGATTCGAGGTCCAGGAGCCGCTTAAAATCATTTTTAGATAAGTATAACAAAAAAACTATATTTAGAATAAAATAACTATATCAAATCATTTTAATTATTTTATTTTAAATATTATTTTAATATACCCACTAACAACTAACTATACCACCTTTTTTAAAATTAACCAAACCAAACCAAAAAATCCAAACAAAACCAAAAATTTCCATAAACAAACATGCTCTAAAGATCTAATATTGAACTCATCTCTCGAATTATGAACAATATCATCAAACATGTAAAAGCAAAGGCCAATTGCAATTCATGAAATAAGAACAAAATATTTGAATAGGGTTCAAAAGAAAACAATCAATTATGATAAATCATCCAAAAATCCCAAACTATTAATCTACTACCATGTCTTAGAATCGAGGAAATTTAGCTACTCATGTTTGAATTCAAATACATAGACATATTAGAAATCATCATGAGAAAATAAGTTCAAAAGAGAGAAAGAAAAACTAGAAATCTTGTGGTTGATCTTCTCTTCTTCCCAGTTGCCTCTCTTCTGTGTTCCAAACCCTTCTCCTTGTGTTCTCCACCTCCTTCCTCCTTCAGAATAGGGTTAATATGCCTTTTATAATGTCCAAAACTTTTCTCCTTATCCAAAAAGGCAAGGGATTAAAAACTGTCCGCGTGTGCGACACGACCAGACACGCCCGTGTCACAGGTCTTGTCTGGTCGTGTCGCGGGTCGTGTCAGGTACCTGGTTTCGAAATTTTTCTGCTGAGGTGACATGGCCTCTGACACGGGCATGATGCACGTGTCACTGCCCGTGTCACACCCCAGCATGCACGTTCTTGTCCGTTTTGCTCGTTTCTTCCATTTTTCTCATCCGTGCATCGATCTATCATCATCCCGGGAGTCTTAGGCACTCACCATGCTCCTCCAATAGCCAAATCTCTACAAATATGTGAAAATATCTACAAAACAAGCACGTGTAATACTTTTCCAACAAATATAGAATTAAGCACAATAATGCAATTTATACACCAATAATGCGACAAATAAGCTCTTGATACTATATGAATATGGTGTAAAATCACACATGAACAAATATCGGACCACACGCAGGAGCAGAGTTCCAGTGAAAAGTAGCGTTCTTATTGTTTAAAGGCGAGATTTTGGTTCAAATGTTATTCAAAATTCGCTAGTGCCCTTTAAAATCTCATATTTACCCTTTGATATTGTTTTCAAAGGGTAAATATGAGATTTTACCATGCATTCGGTTCAAATGTAATAATGATTGGTTGATATTGTTTAATTATATTGATAATATTGAAGATAGTGGAGTTGCGTTAAAGTAGAGTTAAATTTGAGTTTTGAATGAGATATTTACTGTAGAAATCATATACAGTTACGCCCTTAGTCATGCTGGATTTTTGTTTTCAATCAACCATCTACTAAGGTCGACTAGCCAACTCAAAGGCCCTTAGTCATGCTGAATTTTTGTCTTCGAGCAACATTCTGCTAGGGTCGACAGATTTTTGTTGGAACCTTGTTTTGACCTGCCTCTCAGGCCATTTGAAATATTTTGAATACAAACAATTCATAATATCAATCATTACCCTTCAATATTTTGAGCAACATATAAACAAATATTTTGAGCATATCAACATATGCATGAATTACAAAGTTAGGAAAAACAAATAAAAAAAATTGAACAATATTTTGAGCATATCAAAATTAAAAGAAATTCAATAAACGCCAAATATGTACCCTTCCACTTTCTACTTGGTAACACCAATTAATGAAAGTAAACACCAAACACATTTCCTAATGAACATGCGATTCTTGCTTCAATATATTTATACCTCAAAAGATTTGTTCCAAATACATATCTTAATGAGCATGCCATTCTTGCGTTAATTTATTTATATATAAATAATTTTAAAATAAAAAATCATTCAATATTATATAATTTTCAATAAGAAATATTATACACCCACGCTCAACATCTTCTTTTTAATTACCAACAATTACATATCAATATTTCATCATTTATAGACCATTTAATTAATAATCATATATTAAATTAAATTTTACCAATTTATATCATAGATTAACTATCAATTCGATGCCTAAACGATAAAATTTATCTTCGAGACTCAAAAGATAGTCAACTATCAATATTGAGTTTCAAAGATTAAATCTATCAATTAGAGACACATATTATTTAAAATTATCAATTAAAGATTTTTGGAAACGATTACAAAGAAAAAATATATAAACATACATCTTTAATATAAATAAAAACAAAACGACACACACCATTAAATTTATGTACACCCCACATCAAATCCTAAAATATATAAGTTTATAAATTAAAAAAAAAAACATCTTATTTAGATTTTGGGATTTCAAATCGATATAATTTATCTTTCAGGACTCGAATTGACAGTTGCTCCATTTTTCGAGACCTAAATTAAAAAAGAAAAAAAAGTCCAATTTTGTTTTAAATTTATATTCATAGACAATTTATTTAATTTATTTATTTTTTTTTATTTTTTATTTTTCAATTTTCAATTCGGCTGAGATCTCCAGGAGAGTTATAATATATTAGTTAATTTCTCGCAAGTAACTTCTCTGTTACATAATATAGTTTTGCTTGCCACATTTGCCACTATTACTATATATATAACCTCAGGTCCTTTTAGTATGCACAAAAAATACATATTAGATCTCAGATCTCAATGGAGTCCACCAAAGGAGTTGCGATGGCTGGTGGAGATGACGCCGTTAGCTACAATAAGAACTCCTCCCATCAGGTTTTTATTACTAATGTTATTGATGCTGCCAATGTCTTTTCACTTTATTATATTCATTCACTTGTTTTAACAGAGAAGTGTTATCGAAGCTGCCGATTCACTCGTCAAAGAGTGCATCGCACAACACATCGAACCCGGAAGTTATCCCGCCTTACAGACCTTTTGCATTGCCGACTTGGGGTGTTCGACCGGACCCAACACTTTTACAGCTGTCGAAAACATTGTCACGGCAGTTAAACTCAAGTGCCTAAACACCAATAACAGAGTACCCGAGTTTCAAGTCTATTTTAACGACCACGTGCAAAATGACTTCAACACCCTTTTTAAGTCCCTCCCGCCCAACAGGGACTATTACGGGTCAGGCGTGCCCGGTTCTTTCTACGCACGCTTGTTCCCAAATGGTTCGATCCACGTGGCACACTGTTCATATTCCCTCCACTGGCTTTCTCGGGTGCCGAGGGAGGTTGTGGACAGGGATTCGACTGCTTATAACAAGGGAAGGATACACTATTTGGGCGCCAGGGATGAGGTGGTGGATGCCTATTGGCGGCAACACGCTGTGGATATTTCAAATTTTCTGGAGGCGCGGGCGGAGGAGCTCGTCCCTGGAGGCTTGCTGGTGCTCGTCATCCCGGCCCGACCGGATGGGGTCCCACATTCGAAAATCCTCATGGGATTTATATTCAAGCTATTGGGAGACTGCCTTGTGGACCTCTGTCGAAAGGTATGTTTGGTGCGAGTACTAAAACAAGAATCTGGTTTAATTTGTACTAAATAAAAAAAATAGTATGCTTCCAAAAATTAAAACTGAATTTTCAAAATTGTGTCTACTCAAGGGACTGATTGAGGAGGAGAAAGTGGACGAATTCAACTTGCAGCTTCACTTTGCGTCACCACAAGAATTGGAACGAGTCGTAAACCAAAATGGACGTTTTACGATAGAGAGAATGGAGAGCTTGACTGATAAAGTTTATACTTATCATATAGAGTCCATCGCTCAGCATATAGCTCAACGTATAGCTCAGTATATAGCCATCACTATACGAGCCATAACGTCGGAGATATTAAAGAAGCAGTTTGGGCATGAAATCTTGGACCAACTGTTTGGTCTTCTTGCAAGCAAGATTGAACAGAATATAGAACATTGTCTAACCTTGTCCAAACTCGACCTATTTGTGCTCCTCAAACGTTGCGAAGATGCTGTCGTCAGCAATTAGATTCATTGGTTATCTTTTATCTTCTTCTTCTTCTTCTTTTTTTTTTTTTTTTCCTTTTTCCATTCAACGAAAGATTGTTACGCGTCGAATAGAACCAACCGAGCCTGGCTGGATTCATTCTATTCAAACATTGCTTGAGCTTGTTAAGAATTCCAGATTGTACATGAGTAAGGTCCGTTGAGATGTTCAAATTCTAGTCCTTGTTTCCCATTTGTTAAACAAGTTGTTATTACATTCATTTAGTTGCTTAATAAATGGTTAGATTGCTCGTTTACCCTATAAGTATAACTACTACTTGTTTCATTAAAATCTTCCACATTCATTACATTTTAAAAACTAAATCTTTTTTTGTACATTAATTCTTTACCAAGTATAATTAACTTATTAAACATGAAAATTATGAAAGTGTAGCATAATAAAAGTTTAAAACAGTTACTCAGCTCTAAAACATGTTTACACACTATATTTGCTCTATTTCTTATTGGGCATGTGTGCAGTGGCGAAACCAGCCAGTCATCACGGGGAGGGCCCAATTTGTCGCGGCGCAACACCCCCACTCCGGCCATCCCACGGCGCACTACCCCCATTCCGGCATCGGAAGGGCGCTCAAAGGACTTTTGTGGACGCTCTCAAAAATTTTCGCAGAATATAAAGGAATACTCTAGAGATTTTTATAAAAATCAAACTAAGTTCGGAATTAAACTAGTATACTTAAACTGAATTGTTTTAACTCGAATTTATACTAATAAAAATCTCGGACTCAATTGTAATAATAATCAAGAATTATACCTCCTTTCGAATAGACGAAAAGCTAAAAAATTGAGAAAACGAAGCCTCAAACGATCGAACTCGCCCTCGACAAATTTGCTCATTTTGATACTATTTAACGCAGAAATTCAAACTCCCGTAATAAATGCTCGGAACTCCAAAAAATGTGAAATTTGTCCGTATGGAATCGTGCTTGAATTGTCTACACGCTCCAACTCGATTCTCGTTAAACCGAGGTCACACGCAACCTTACGGAACCCTGCAAAACGGCTTTTTATTCTTCTATTATGCGCACTCGACTTCGAGCTTCTCAAAATAAATGCTCGAAACTTCAAAACGTGAAATAAATTTTACGAACGGCTTCTACTGTTCTCGTGCTTTCAAGAAAGCACTCCCGCTAATTTTCAGCACGCCTAACGAGGGCCGACAGTTTCCCGAAGTCTAGACATGAAAATGACAATAAAATCACCGCCACTGCCATTTTTCTCTCAACTTCGGCTACCCAAAATAAATGGTTGGGACCTCAAAATCATAAATCGATGCCACCAACGCACTCTCTGCTTCCCGTACTTTCATAAATGTATTTTTCGGTAATGATCGACTCGGTTTTTTAGTCCCGTCGGTACACCGCAAGTCGGCTAATTAACCAACTCAAAAAATAATAAAAATGAAAAAAATATTAAATTCTGCACCTGTTATAGTTCTCCTTGTCCCGAAATTAGGATCCCGTTTCGAGGAGGGCCCAATTTGTCTTTAAAAAAAAATTTCACGACAAAACCGGTGGCGCCCCTCCAGCCATGTATGTACCGCATGCTGGAACTAAAAGAGGTTTTTTTTTTTCCATATATTATATGTATAATTAACTTTTTAACAGAGCCTGTCCTGAACTTTATAAGGCCCCGGGCGAAATGTGCTAAATGTTGCCCTTGATTGTTTTTATTTTTTTAAGTTAATAAAAAAATATAACTCGCAACAATAAAAGCAGAGAAATTTGAAATAAAAATATAGCTAAATTTAAAAATAATATTTGATAAATTTCATAAGAATCGCAAATGAAAAAAGAGAAAATCCTTTTTATTAAAGAATAAAAAAGCAATCAAAACTCCAAAATTTTCATTTACTTCATATATATGACTTAAGTTTAGTCAAGTACATAATACTCAATTATAATCAAGGAAATAAATAGCTCGCTAAAGTTGCCGCTATTTGAGAAATAGCTTTTTCTGGCAGCGTGTCGCTATTTGTATTCATGTGCAATTTAGCCGCTAAATCCCGCCGCTAAATCCTGCTAAATCTCCGCTATAGCTACAGTGCCATAAACATTTTAGCCCGCTATTTAAAACCTTGATTATAATTATGTAGAGTTTTTTTTATTGAAAAGTATTAATTTGTAATTTATATTCAACAAAGTTAAATAAAAAATTAAAATTGAAGCTCGTCTAAATTCACTTAACTCTTTTATTGACTATCACTATAACATAATTGGATTGTGCAATCATAAATTAACATTTTGTATATTCAAACAAGAAGAAAAAATTAACAAAGTATTAAAAATAAGAGAAAATATGCAAAAAAAAAATTGATTTGACTAGTAATAACTACTATTTAGTTTTGTTATGAAATTTATAAGGTGGAGAAAATATAAAAAGCCTTGTTAAGAAATAAAAAAAGTGATTTAAGATCAATTTTATATTCAATATTTTATTATATAATTAATATATATAAAATTAAAGAAGTATATAAAAATGGGCCCCGGGGTAAGAAGGGGCCCTGGGCGGTCGCCGGCCCGCCCTACCCAGGGCCGGCCCTGCTTTTTAAAGTGCTAGTGGTATATACTTTTTCCGAGGCAATTATTCTTCTCCAAACTTTTCACACATTTCATAAAAACATGTACTTTAGAGTACATCACACCCATTGGTGCACATGTTTGGTATGATGCAATGTCACGAGAATGAAATGATCATTCTTTTATTCATTCCTAATTTCATGATTGATATTTATTTTTTATTTTTGTAAATGAATAATCACTCCAATATAAATTGCAAAACTCAACCCGCACGCGACACAGTGTCCAAGCCCCCAGTCACGACACACACGCAACGCAGCATGAGGACGCATCCAGGCGCAGCATGCAGCTACCGCACTGCAACCGATCACGACCCAGCGCGATGCAACGACTCCAACACGGAGTAGGCGATCCCCACACGCAGCTTAGCAATGCACGCGACACGCCTATAGCACGCAGCGCCTATGACGCGATACACCGCATCCTGAAGTTCCCGGAGACCTAGCGCGATGCACATGGACAGTATAGACGAAGGCAACGACCTGACGACAGACGCAACACGTACGAGTCATAAGAAGGAAAAATTTCTCGGAGCCACTTATTCGGGCCCGTAGCCCATGTAAATCTGTACGGAGTCGGCTTTTGTAAAATCGTAAGATCTTCATCCTAAACTTTAGTTTTCCGCTGCACATAGGATTATTTTCTATTGGAATTATAATAGGCATTCTTAGTCTAACTCAACAACTGGTATCAGAATCCTGACTTAATTCGGTTTATTGTTGAATAGTTGAATTATCTTTGCCTAATTATCATCTGTGCCCTTATTTCTTTGTACTCAAATGAGAAAACAACCGTTGAAGGCAAAAAACAACCTTGTAAATATGCATAATGAAAAGAAAGAAACAACATTATAAGATCCCAAACCATGAACAAAAGCCTAACCTTGTAAATATGCATAATGAAAAGAAAGAAACAACATTGTAAAATCCCAAACCATGAACAAAAGCCTACGCAACATCCATTACGCAGCAAAATCAAATACTTCAACAACATTAGTTTATTTCACCTGTCTCAATAAACAGGGCCCTAATCAACAGGATAACAAACACATCAAACACCACAAATTTTTCCCCAAGATAGAAACCGAAAAAAACAAAAGAGTGGAAACAGCAATCACTTCAAGAATTGCACAGGGAGGGCCCCAACTTAATGCTTGCCGATTATGGTGGTCTCGGCAATCATGGAGGTAACAACGTACGGGTCCATGTTCGAGGCGGGCCTTCGGTCCTCAAAGTACCCTTTGCCGTCCTTCTCGGTGTCTCGGCCCACACGGATGGACGCACCACGGTTCGCAACCCCCTAAAGCAAAAGAAAATGAGTGCAGAAACAAAACTGTTACCAATTTTTTACGCCGATAATAAATTTGTAACTAGTTAGTATTATTGACTTGCTACTTTAAAATATGACCATTGGGCCAAAAGATGTACAGTGGAACAACAAATGAAAAGGCAAGAATAGGAATGAATTGTGAGGTAAGGATTGGAGGAAAAACATATAATTGTTGGTTTTACCCATTTGAAGGTGTTGATGTCAGCAGTCTCGTGTTTTCCGGTAAGGCGACGCTCGTTGCCCTCACCATAGGCAGCAATGTGCTCCTTGTGCCTAAGGCCAAGCTTCTCGATGGCCTTCTTGATGACTTCATAGCCACCCTCTTCCCTCATGGATTTGGTGCTGAGAGAAATATGGTTAGAGATCTCAATTAGACATAGTAATTTCAGAGCATCACAATTTCTATACATATAAACCATATCAAGAAAAAAAAATAAAGAAAAAATCACCTGTAGTTAGTGTGAGCACCAGCACCATTCCAGTCACCCTGAAAGTGGGAGAAACTAAACAGTTAAATAAATTGATAACTACAATAATATACATGTCGACTTTAATTTTTTTTCCATTTCAAACTACGAAAAACTACTCTAAAATGGACAACAACTGATGTTCACCTCGATAGGTTTGGGGTCAAATGAAACAACCACTCCAGCAATTTCAGTAATCCTCTGTCAAAAAGACAATAAAAAAGCAAAGGTTGTGCTTTCAGCATAAATTAGTTGATTCCCACACTAACAATGCGAAACGAGAGTAGAAATATTTACCTCCAAAATGTAACGAGCAATCCACACCTCGTCGCCAGCTGAGATGCCCACAGAAGGTCCAACTTGAAATTCCCACTGAAAAATAATGCGTGAGGGGCGAACAGAAGAATGTTACGAGCAGAACTAATGTGAAATAAATTATCTTGCCAAGAAAAATATTCTTTTAAGTTCTAAGGCAGCAGATTTAAATTACCTGGCCTGGCATCACCTCCCCATTGATGCCGCTGATGTTGATGCCGGCATAAAGACAGGCCTTGTAGTGAGCATCCACAACGTCTCGCCCAAAAGCTTTGTCAGCTCCAATTCCACAGTAATACGGGCCCTACAACCAATCGAAAAACTTGATTATAATCATTGCCCAAAGGTTAACTCTATAATTTTATTACTTATTGGTTAAACTTATGTAGGTTGACATGATATAAAAAAAGATGTAAAAGACATACACCGAGCATAAAAGAACTGCGGAAAACTTGGAAGAGAACAAATGAATTTAGACGTGACTCAACAAATGACCAGCACAGGATATTATTGGAATGAAGAATGAAAATCACCTGAGGACCTGGATAACCGCCAGTAGGCCATCCAAGAGGCCACTTAACATCCTTTTGCAACAACGTGTACTCTTGCTCAATACCATACCTATTGGCAACGAATTACATCACAATATGAACGTGTGGAAATTAGAAAGAACAAATTATGCACCAGAATTCAAAGATTAATTCTGTCTTAAAATACGCACCATGGTACTTCAGCAACAACATCAGGATGGCTAAAGATCTTCGCCGCATTATGT